TGCATCCCGAACCCCTGGGATTCCTTTGAAAAACAGCTTCTTTTTCCTTTCTCCTCCTCTGTCCTCTCTTCACTGATAGGTAATTGTGTCTCTGTACTATGGGATACTGCCCTCAGATGCATCTTCCAAACTGGGAAGAGTTAATTTCCCAGACCTTAAACTGGTTGGCATAGGATTAGGCTCAGGGAAAGGGAACCCAGAAGCCTGACACGCTGGCAAAGGTTTGTTTTTTTTAAACTAATCGGGTTTTGTACTCCTTCTCCCTTTACAAACTGGTAAAAGCCCTCGGGATTTCTGAGTTGTCCTGACCCTCGCCGTGTTTTGTTTTGATATGTCTTCTAATAACCCAGTTTGTCTCTTCTTCCCTTCAAGCCATCAAACTCCAAACAGTCATGCAATCGGAGCTTTGGATGTTGGCCCCTTTTGCCGGGGACCCTCAGATAGGCCTGAGAGAGCTCTGATGGCCTTTTCTCAAAAACATCGTCCCCTGGAAGCAGGAAGCAGTTAAGACCAGTCTTCACCCTTATCCTTATCCTAAAGGCAGGTAAATGTACTTCTTTAGAGGGGGAATGAGACAGCCAAGTATAAAGGGGTCCCCAGGGAATCTCCAAGGGGCCTGCACAGCAGGAAAACGGGGAGGAGCCATGGAAGCTCGTGCTGTTTGCAGAGGGAAGGGGCCTGGCCTCTAGAGTCCTGCGTGGTGGGGCAGAAGCCAGCTAGCAGGCTTTCCTCTCACTCTGCTCAAAGTTTTTCTCTTTTTCCTTTTTCACCCAATGAATTCCAGTTTTCTCACCCTTCTATGTGTCCGTGAACCTAATCTTTCCCGGTCACGTAACAAGAACCTGGTTTGTAGCTGAACTGGGAAGACAGTCCTACAACAGTAGGCCTTGTTAAGAAAAGTTATGTCTTGGCCGGGCGCGGTGGCTCACGCCTGTAATCCCAGCACTTTGGGAGGCCGAGGCGGGTGGATCACGAGGTCAAGAGATCGAGACCATCCTGGTCAACATGGTGAAACCCCGTCTCTACTAAAAAACTACAAAAAATTAGCTGGGCATGGTGGTGCATGCCTGTAATCCCAGCTACTAAGGAGGCTGAGGCAGGAGAATTGCCTGAACCCAGGAGGCGGAGGTTGCGGTGAGCCGAGATCGCGCCATTGCACTCCAGCCTGGGTAACAATAGTGAAACTCTGTCTCAAAAAAAAAAAAAAAAAAGAAAAGTTATGTCTCTTTAAATGTGTCTTCTTTTAAGAGTAAGTTACTGAACATTAAAAAGCATGATTTGTAAAGCCTGTAAATACTAATATTCTCAGCACAGATTACAAGGCACCAACATATAATTAAAAAAATGAACTCACTTTGTAAGACTACCATATTTTTTTCCCAATGTGCAAGATGGTACAGGATTAGTGACTAATCTGCATTCATTGTTCTTTAAAAGAAAGCTACAGTAGCTTAATATAAACACTATACTCATCTAAATTAATATGTCTTTCAGTTCTTGTCAATACAGAGCTGTTCCCTCCTCTTTGTTTCCTTAGTAGTTCATTACAGCACATAGTACATACACATTTTAATTTTGCAATTTCACTCCTGTTAAATAAAATTCATAGGAGGCCATTGGCTTTGCCTGAGCTTCTATACCAGGCCTAACAGACCAAAGCAAAATGGAGTTATTTATGCTGAAGTTCCACAACTTGAAGTGGGAATTAAGTTGCATATCTGATCTTTTAAGGAGAGTGAGAGAGACAACAGCCAAATTCCCAAACAAGCCAGTTTCAGACAGCGTGATAAACGTGCCTCCTCTGCTTTAACCTTTACAAGGAAAGTAACTTTGAAACCAGTTTAGCCCCTTTTTGTCTCTAAAGCCAACCTCCTCTGCTCAGTGCATCAGAGGTCATTGATCATTGACCACTGAGATCAGAGGTCAGTGCTCAGTGATCGTTCTATTTTACAGGAGAAAGTGTTGTTTGATTCTGGATTGCAAATAAAAGCCAATTAAGATCTGTAAACTAAATTTGTAATCTTATTTTATGACAGTTCTGGCCAACATGGACAAAGGGACTGCAGGGACATTGCTGACAACTCCTGAGATCCCTTGAGGTGTGCAAGAGACACTGCTCATGTCTTTTGAGGCTCCCGTCTGCTTCAAAGAGTCCAAAGATTATACAACCATGATCAGACTTTCTTTTTTTTTTTTCTTTTTTTGAGACAGACTCTTGCCCTGTCGCCCAGGCTGGAGTGCAATGGTGCAATCTTGGCTCACTGCAACCTCCATATCCTGGGTTCAAGCGATTCTCCTGCCCCAGCCTCCCAAGTAGCTGGGATTACAGGCATGTGCCACCACACCTGGCTATTTTTTTGTATCTTCAGTAGACACAGGGTTTCACATGTTGGACATGGTCTCGAACTCCTGACCTTGTGATCTGCCTGCCTTGGCCTCCCAAAGTCCTGGGATTACAGTTGTGAGCCACCTGCCCGGCTTAGACTTTGCTCTTTTTGCATTGATCCCCTTGATCATTTTGGCTTCTAATTCCAGGATTAGTTTGTGCTATGAGAGGAAACATGAGCTTGGGGTGGGGACCAAGGATTAGTTTGTGCTATGTGATGGCATATGACCTTTTGGGGTTTGCAGTGGCTTGGTGAGTCACTGTCAAGAGTGACAGTCTTAACAGAAACATAACTTGGTCCCCTAGGGAGGTCTCAGGTGTCTGACCGGGTCAGACAGAAACTGGCAATAAATGGCAATTATTGCAGGGGGTGTAAACTCTGGCTTTCAGAAATTCACAGGGATTTTATGTCTATTATCTTAATTTCTTTTTCTTGTATGCGTAGGTAGGGAAAAATCATTGGCTGATTTGGTTAAGGTTATCTCAGTGCCAAAACCAGAATGTGACTGGTGGGCATGAGTCAGGCACTTGAAAGCATCAGAATGCTTGCCACCAAAAAAACAGACTCTTGGGCTAGGATAACCAAGTCATGGAAATGGGTCAGCTTCAAGAAAACTTCCGTGCAAGGAGGGAACATGTGAAGGCATTACATGACTCAACCCTGTGGCATTTCCTTTTTTTTTTTTGAGAAATGTCACCTCTGTTGCCTAGGCTTGGAGTGCAGTGGTGTGATCACAGTTCACTGAAGCCTCAACCTCCTGGGCTCAAGAGATCCTCCTACCTCAGCCTCCCAAGTAGCTGGGATCGCATTCATGTGCCGCTATGTCCAGCTAATTTTTTGTAGAGACGAGGTCTCCCTTTATGTCTATAAAGCCAGCCTCCTCGGCTCAGCTCATCCTCACATTCTACTTTATAGAATGAGGAGTTGCTTGATTCTACAATCGCAAATAAAAGCCAATTAAGATCTTTAAAGTAAATGTGTTATAATTTCGTCTTTTGACACCCTGTTCTCCAACACTAGATTGTGAGCTTCTTAAGAGAAAGGATTGTTTCTTTCTTACCTGTACATAGTCAGTGGCCAGTAATGCCTGACATAGTGTTGGGGCTTAATCGGTATTAATTGAATACATCAATAAAGCACAAAATAGAGATACGTAAACAGGTAACATTTAATACTATTTTAGGCATTGAGTTAAACAGTTTGCTTGCATTACATCATGTAATTTAACAACCTTTGAAGGTGAAGAAGCTGGCTTAGGAGAGGGTATTAATGATTATCTGACATCCAGAAGCATCCTACTCACTTCTAGTGTTGGCTGTTTTGTTTCTCAGAAACAAGACAAGTCAGAGACAATCAGGATTAAACCATTGGAAGAGATGGTGCTCTTCTGGGATCTGCAATGGTTAGGAGCCGGACTGCCTAGGTTCAGACTGTGTGACCCTGCTGAACCTTTATTAGTATCAGTCGTAGCAGCAGTGGTCCTTTCCCTGCTGAATTGAACAGAGCCCAGCATCCTGCACTCTGCTTCAAAACTGAGTCGAGTATACATATTTCAAAACATCATGTTGTACACGATAAACATACAATTTTATCCGTCAATTAAAAATAAATTAGGAAAAAAAACAAACAGGCAGAGCGTGGTGACTCACGCCTGTAATCCCAGTGCTTTGTGAGGTTCCGGCAGGAGGACCGCTAGAACCCACAAGGTTAGAGTGACCGCCACTGCACTCCAGCCTGGGTGACAGAGCTAAACCCTGTCTCTCTCTCTTTTTTTTTTTTTGAGACGAAGTCTCGCTCTTTAGCCCAAGCTGGAGGCCACCTCCACCTCCCAGGTTCAAGCGATTGTCCTGCCTCAACCTCCCTTGTAGTTGGGATTACAGGCAGGCGCCACCACGCCCGGCTAATTTTGTATTTTTAGTAGAGACGGGGTTTCTCATGTTGGTCAGGTTGGTCTCGAACTCCTGACCTCAGGTAATCCGCCCGCCTCGGCCTCCCAAAGTGTTGGGATTACATGGATGAGCCGCCGCGTCCGGCCGACCTTGTCTCTTAAAACACACAAAAAAACTAAAAAACAAACCAAAAACAAAAAACCGGGGTCACTTTCCCGTCCGGTTTCTTAAGGTGTGAATTTCAGAACTGGGTATTCCCAGGCCCCAGCCGCTTATTCCGCCGTGTGGTGCGGGAGTGAGATTTATTCTGAGGTCAGCTGGTTGGGGTATGGATAAATAACTGAAGGCTCTCTTACCGCAGGCGTGTTTCTGACTGTGGGTACTGCTCCCGCCCCACGCCCGAGAATGTCCAGACTCATCGGCGCGGCTCGCGGCTCGCTGCCTGGCGCGCGCCAGCCCTCTGGCAGCCAGCGCGGGGCCCCGAGCGTGCGCAGGCGCGCGGCGCAGCTCCTCAGCATGGCTCCGAGACGCGCGCGCGAGCAGGACGCCTTTGGCCTAGCCACCAACGGCGCACGGTCCCTCCACCGCAAGACCGCTCGCCCAAGTTAACCACTGAGTTAGGCGCGGCGCAGAGCATGGCAAGGAGGCTGTGCGTACGGTAGGGGGCGGGATGTGCGGCTGGCGGGGCCCCGGGCAGCGCACGACTGTGAGCCAATCCCCTGGTTCCGGCCTTTTCCTTCCGGAAGACCTCCCGCTGCTGCCAAGCGCCGGGCCCCTTCCGGGGTCTCTCAAAGGCGAGGGGAGCGCGGCTTGAGCGGATGCCGGGTACCGTTTTGGGCCTCTCAGCCCCTCAGTCCGCGCGCCAACTGGAGGCTTCGCGGTCATTCTTCCCGTGTGGCCCAGGCGAACGCAGTGCTCCGCGTTATCCCTCCCACGGAAGACAAGTCGCTCGGGCGGGTAGGAGCACAAGCTAGGAGTGGTATGAATGAAGTGTTTTCTAGAAGGGCGTGGACAAGTCTCTGGGACGCGGTTGATAGTGCTGGTTTATAGAGGGCCGTCTGGACACAAAAGGCATTGATACGATTGAAAAGCTGCTTTCCTTCTCGGTCACAAGCCATGATGAATTGGTGACTCAGACGCTTTGGAAAAAAATTGAAATAAATAAATAAATAAATAAAAGCTGCTTTCCTTGCCAACAGCCCCATACCCTCCCCAGGAGCGCGCTGGCCCCTTGGAAGACTTTTTCGTTATGTAAACTCAGAGTTTAATTACATTACAAACGAAGGTAATGGATACTAAAAGGGTAATGGGTACTTACCAACATGGTGAAACCCCGTCTCTACTAAAAATACAAAAATTAGCCAGGCATGGTGGCACACTGCTGTAATCCCAGCTACTCAGGAGGCTGGGCCAGGAGAATAGCTTGAACCCAGGAGGTGGAGGTTGCAGTGAGCCAAGATTGTGCCACTGCACTCCCATCGGCGGGCTACAGAATGAGACTCCGTCTCAAAAAGAAAAAAAGAGACACAGTTGACATGAAATGCATGTATTTAAAATGTATAATTGGATGTTTTGATACAAGTTTACACCTATGCAACCATCACTGTAATCAAGGTAACGAGCATATCTGTTACCCACAAGTTTGCTCATGTCCTTTTGTAAACCCTCCCTTCTATTCTACAGAGCTTTCTGTCACTGTATATTAATTTGCATTTTCTAGAGTATTATATAAATGGAATTATATAGCATGTACTTTTTGTGATCTGAATTTTTTTAATTCACTGTAACTATTTTGAGATTCAGGTTTTGCTTATGTCAAGAATTTGTTTTTTAAAGTTGCCATGTAGTATTCCATTGTATGGATGTACCACAATTTTTCCATTCACCCATGGATGACCTTTTGGGTTATTTCCAGTTTTTGTGGATTACAAATATAGCTGCCATGAGTACAAGTCTTTGTATGGATATATGCTTTCTTTTCTCTTAGATAGGTAAGAGTGGAATGGTTGGATCATGTGGTAGATGTATGTTTAACTTTTTAAGGAACTGCCAAACTGTTTTCCAAAGTAGTTGTATCATTTTACCAGTAGTGTATAAGGATTTCAGTTCCTCCATATCCTTGCCAACCTTTGGTATGGTCAATCTTTTATATTTTAGCCATTGTAACTAGATGTGTGTAAGTATTTTATTGTGTTTTTTTTTTTTAATTATGGCCTTATTTTTAATCTGTGTATCTTTTTCATTGAAATGTCTATTCAAATATTGTGTCCATTTAAAAAAATGAAGTATTTGTATTCTTATTATTGCACTTTATGTGTTTCTGTCTGATAACTGTTTCACATCTAAATTTTAAATTAAATTTTGAATCTTGAATTTATGTGAAAATTGAATGACAATACAATGCTGGATGCTTTAATATTTCTTGCTGAATTTTTCTTGGATTTGTTTCATAGATCTCACTCTTGGAAAGGATGTTTTCTTGAATTGTTATCCATGGGGCAAGGCACCAAAATGAGTCTCCGGGTGGGTGAACGGTCCATCATCCTTTCAGTAGTGGGAGAAGGGTGACTGTGAAGGAGGAGGTTGAAAAAAGGAACCTCAGGCTCATTTTCAGGTAGATGCAATTCATCTGCATCATTAGTATTTTAATATAATGTATAGAGTTACTGCGTGTGTGTGTGTGTGTGTGTGTGTGTGTGTGTGTGTGTGTGTGTGTGTGTTTTAACCATCGTATAATATGTCCATATAATGTTGTATGGTTCTTGAAGTCATTTTAATCACATGGGGGAGAGGGAGATTTCTACTTGGGGGTGCCAGGTAGATGGTATTGTCGTTTACTACCTGTCTTATGCTCTAGCCATACAGGTCTCCTTTCAGCTCCTGGAGTGCCCCAGGCTTTTTCCTGCCCCAGGGCCTTCTTGGGTGTTGTTGCTCTGCTTGCAAAGCTCTTTCCCCTACTCTTTTTTTCTTTCTTTCTTTCTTTTTTTTTTTTTTGAGATGGAGCATCGCTCTGTTGCCCAGGCTGGAGTGCCTTGGTGCGGTCTCAGCTCACTGCAACCTCCACCTCCCAGGTTCAAGCGATTCTCCTGCTTCAGCCTCCTGAGTAGCTTGGATTATAGGCGCCTGCCACCACACCCGGCTAATTTTTTGTATTTTTAGTAGAGATGGGGTTTCACCATGTTGGCCAGGCTGGGCTTGAACTCCTGACCTTGTGATCCGCCCACCTCAGCCTCCCAAAGTGCTGGGATTACTGGCATGAGCCACCATGCCTGGCGCCCCCTCCTCTTTACATAACTAACTCCTAAGTTTTTGGTGTCAGCATAATTGCCACTTTCTTAGGGAGGCCTTCTCTGAACAAAGTGCTTACTAGATTTCAGATAGTATGCTAAGTGCTTTATATACATGATTTTATTTAATCTGAATTAGGTCCTCATTAAATTCTCTCAGAGTGCTGAAACTTTTCCTTTAGAGCAATTTTTATAGTTTATAGTTAAATATTATGTGCTACCTGTCTGTCTGAGGAGATTAAAAGCTTTTTCCATGTCTCTTTTTGTATACCCATGCATCCTCAGTCATGGGCAGATCTTAGACACTCAAACATAATTGTTGAATGAACTAATGAGTGGGGAACATTTGGAAGGAGGGCTGGGATCTTTACTCTTTCAACTTTTTCTCTCTAGTTATCTTGTCAATTCCCATGGTTTAAATACCTTTTATATGCTGATAAATCCTAACTTTTTATCTCTCGTTCAAAGTTCTCTTCATTTAGTCATCAGGATAATCATGTGAGATTACCATTATTATCCATTTACAGCTGAAACACATGGAGAAAATGATATATTCCCATGCCATCATCAAATGTAGGGTTTCATGGATGTTATGATGCATTCTTAAGAAAGTTCTTCTATATCATTCTCATTACAGAGTGCTGCAGCACCGTAAGACAGGGTAAAAAAAAATTAAAAAAATACAGAGTGCTAGGTTGGTCTTTTTCAACATTGCCTTGTTGAATTCAGAGTTAAGGGCATCTGTAAAGACACCTGGATTGACAGACCAACCAAGCTGTTGCATGAAGATTCTGGTAATGAGTGAGATGGGATGAACTGAATAAGCAGAAATCTTTACAGAATTCTAACTTTAAAAAGCTTATTTTTGCCTTGGTATACTGTGAATAATAAAAAAGCACCATTTATAAATACTTACAAATGCTTAATACAGATTTTGAGTCACCAACATGTGACTAAAAGAACAAACCCACTTCTGTAGTTGTGGGATTACCGTAGGCCATACTTCTTTAGTGCTGTATGAAACCATTTGGAGTTTACACTAATCCAAATATCTTAAGAGTCTCAAAAAGAAAACCTACAGTAGATGAATAATGAAACTGTCCCTTTGCAAGTTCCTGAATCCCTGAGCAGGTACAAGCTAAGTCTTGAAGGACAAATTGGAGTTGGCCCAGCAAATGGGACCAGAAAGGACATTGCAGGTTCCATGTCAAAGTACAGCATGGAATCACCTGGCAAGTTCAGGAAGGTACTGAGAGTTTCTGTGGAGTTTGGGCATCCAGTAAGAGGAGGTTGTGGTGAAAGATGAGTCTGGAAAGGCTGGGTCTTCAAGATCCCAAAGGACTCTGTTCTCCTGTATGTGCTTAGAGATTTCTCTGGAGGCAATGAAGAGCTACTGGAAGACTGTTAGTAGAGGACTGGAATTTCTGACTTACATTTTAGAATGATCATGATAGAGGTTATGGGGAAATTGCACTGGAATCAAGGATACACTTGAGTACTTTGTGGGCGTTGATAGAGTGAGGGGATTTGGTAATGAATGAGGCCAAGGGCATGGCAGAAAAGGAGGATGAGGCTGTCATCCAGGTTTCTTGGGCGACCAATAGTGGAGGTACTCTTTAGAAAGGGAAAAAGAGGAGTATTTTTGGGGGTACAGGGAAGAAAAGTGAGTTCTTTTCTAGATATCTTGTGTTGAAGGTACTGCAGAGATAATAGAATAGTTTGGAACTTAAAGACCTGAAAATGTCCTTTGTTTAGAACACAGAATGTATTAGAGACATCAGTAAGAGCAGTTGAGGTGGAGGGGCGAGGCTAGAGGAGTGAGTGGGAGGTAAACATACAAACAGTAGACTGACAACTCTTCAGACCTCTTATGGTGAGAAGAGAGGACAGCAGCCAGAGGTGAAGAAAGGAATGTTTTTAAAGAAACAGGCTGCTTCTTTCTCTTTCTTTCTTTTCTTTCATTCTCTCTTTCTTTCTCTCTCTCTTTGTGTCTCTCTCTCTCTTTTCTTTTCTTTTTTTTTTTTGAGATGGAGCCTTACACTGTTGCCCAGGCTCGTGTGCAGGGGTGCGATCTCGGCTTCCCGTAACCTCCGCCTCCTAGGTTCAAGCGATTCTCCTGCCTTAGCCTCCTGAGTAGCTAGGATTATAGGCTCCTGCCACCACACCCAGCTAATTTTTTCTATTTTTAGTAGAGATGGGGTTGCTGTATGTTAGCCAGGCTGGTCTTGAACTCTTGACCTTGTGATCCGCCCACCTTGGCCTCCCAAAGTGCTGGGATTACAGGTGTGAGCCACTGCGCCTGGCCTCTTTTTTAAAAAAATGCATGGGAGTGACTGTAAAGAGCATAAGAAAACCTATACTACACCTGTTATTAGGTTGTACTCCTATTCATTGTTTTCAGGTTTTTGTTGTCTACCTGTATACCGGACTGGATCCCGATTTCTAGTTTCATCCAGTTTCTGGCTATAATTTTCCAGCTAAGAACAAGAACTGCTGTGTTCCTAAAGCCCCACAGCTGAAGCTAGACAACTCGATGTAAATTTTAAGGGACAAGTCTCATGCCCAATGTGTGGACCACATCAAGAGTTCACCAAACTGCCCGATGCCATAACCAGAGACATTGAAACCACGAACTGATATGAGTTGTTAACTTTATCATGGGGAGTTTTTCTCAAGACTATCAGAATGGCTGAGTGTGATGGCTCATGCCTGTAGTCCTAACACTTTGGGAGGCTGAAGCAGGTGGATTGCTGAGCCCAGGAGTTTGAGACCAGCCTGGGCAATATGACGAAAGCTTGTCTCTACAAAAAATACAATAATTAACCAGGCATGGTGGCGCATGCCTGTAGTCCTGGCTACTCAAAAGGCTGAGGTGGGAGGATGGCTTCAGCCCAAGAGGTGGAGATTGCAGTGAGCTGAGATCATGCCATTGCCACTACACTCCAGCCTGGGTGACAGAGCTAGACCCTGTCTCCAAAAAACAAACAAAACTGCATAATATGACTCTTATTTTCCTTAATTTATCCTTGCTTATGCGTATCTTTTTTGTCTGGCAGAATAATGCTACAGTTAGAATTTCACAATCAGTAGCTTCTGTGGGTAACTTGCAAATGGTCACTCCATACTTTAGCTCAGTCATGAGGTGATAGATCTTCTGTTAGCTGAACAAGAAGGAATTGTTGCAGTTGCTAACACTTTTTGTTGCACAAGGATAAATACATCAGGTATCAGAGAGACTGGGATGAAAAAATTAACAGACTGGCTACTTGGTTAAGATGGATGCACTCCTCATCTGACTCATTCTTCAATTTATTCTATTTTAGTTGGTTTGTTTCATGAGGACCCTAGCGAAGGAGCATACTCCAGACTCTTAATATTATCCTCCTGAGAGTAATAATAGTAGTCTTTCTGTTGCACTGTATGCTCTCAAAATGTTTTAAATGTTTGTGGCCATAATCCCAGCACTTTGGGAGGCCAAGGTGGGCGGATCACCTGAGGTCAGGAGTTCGAGACCAGCCTGGCCAACGTGGCAAAAACCCGTCTCTACAAAAAATACCAAAATTAGCTGGGTGTGGTGGTGCATGTCTGTCGTCTCAGCTACTTGGGAGACTGAGGCAGGAGAATCACTTGAACCTGGGAGGCAGAGGTTGCAGTGAACTGAGATCGCGCCACGCACCCTAGCCTGGGCGGCAGAGTGAGACACTGTCTCAAAAAAACAAGTTTTAAATATTTGCATGCAGCCATCTGCTGAATGTCAAATAGTCTGTCTTTTGCTGGAATAACAAAAAACTCAAATAAATGCACGATGATGTGGACACCGTACCCTATGAATGATGTGTTGAGACTGGAAACCTAAAATGATGGTAACTGAGACTAGTGCCAATGCCCTTAGTTTTGGTCAGGTTCTCACTTGAGCCTTGACCAAAAGGGGAAAATTGTTAAATAAAAATTGTAGGAGGCCATTGTTTTGGACTAAGCTCCTGCACTAGGCCCCAGCGATGAGAGTAAAAATCAAACTGAAGTCAGTCATACTGACTGTCTTCTGAAGTTTTATGTAACTAAACCAAAAGGAAGTTGTTATTTGACCTTCCTGGAAATCAGGAGAGAGAGAGAACAGCCTAATTTCCCAAACAGGCATGATAATAAAGTTTCGTCTGCCCTAGTCATTACCAAAAAATGTACACTGACGTTAACCAATTAGTTATTTCTCCATTGTTCTGCTTTCTCTTCCCACCTTAGAAGGAAAGTAACTGTGAAATGACTTATCTGCTCTTTGTTCTTTACTTTTGTTTTCTTCAGCCCTTCTCTGTCTGTAAAACCAATCTCCT